ACCTTCATCTTAGGTCAAATTCTCAAAATGCCCTTTAATGTCAAATTCTAGTTCATTTAACTAGTCCCGAAAAATGGAACACGATGCCGGTTAAACTAATCTCGTGCAGGTCTGAACCAAAAGGTATTACAGCTAAACGTCCCCCGCGAATACATATATTTTACGGCTAAAACGTTTACCTACCTTAGGTCAAATCTGAGATAATTAATAAGAAAGAGCATCATAAAAAGAGGTATCGATTGCGCTTTGCTGCGGCGCTGTAGCTCAATCTGTTTCTGAATCCTGACTTATGCGCCGCTTTGTCGAAAAATACCAAAATCGGCGAAATTTGATTTTTGGTTGTCTCTGGTGACCTGACCTTCGACCAGTTCGACCTAGCCTTAACAATGACTTAAGTAGTTTTATAATAGTTTTTGACGCTCTTTCGAACGCCGCCTACTGCGTGTCTCGACGTGGCCCACAAGCTGAGTTAGAAGTGGGTGTTCAAACACCCCCAGCAGGTTCAATTGAAAAACGCATACGCTGGGAGCGGTACCACACTGCTAGGCGGGGGCGGCATCGCAATAATGGGCGGCACTGCGCCTGAGGGGTACCACTTGCATTGAGGAGTGGCATTGTACGGTGAAGGGGCGGCGTCGCAAATTGAGGGGCGGTATCGCAACGAGGGGTGGCACTAACGAGGCTGCCTTATAAGAAACGCTTGGCACATCCTAGCCCAGCTCGGCGCCGCCTGGCTGCTGCATCTTGAAAAAAGGCCCTTGGTGTCGATGAGAAAGCCCCATTGTCAAATAATTACCTAGCGTCAGTGGTTTCAGGAGAGGGGGGGGGCGCTATCGATCTTGAATGGGGCCGATTGGGGCAGCTGTGAACTTCAGAGGGGCGCCGGGTTCTCTAGAGGGGCGCCATCAACCTTTAAAGGGGCGACTGTTCCGTTCAGCTGGGTGCCAGGGGCTCTTCAGGGGCGCCATCGACCCTGGGGGTTCGGAATATTCTGGTTTCCGGAGGGGCGCCCTTCATAATTGGGGGCTCAGGTCCTAGTTGTGGGTGTCCTGGAGAACATTCGGGTGTCCAGGCACCCCCAAAGAGATATTAAAGTTCGATCTCTGCCTTCACGTCGCTCTTTGATTCATGTTCCCTCTGTAAAACGGCATCAGCCTAGTCGGCGCTAATTGGGGCGCCATCTGGGCGGCTGGGCAGAAAGGGGGGCATGGCCCCCATGGCCCTCCCTGAATACGCCACTGCACGCAATACCCTTGCGAAGCCACAAAGTATACGCTAAAATGCACATTAGTGACATCATATCAGTCGCGTTCCCTCCAGCCAGTCTCTCGCTCTTTTGCGACACAGCGCCGCTGACCGAGCCCCTCTCACACCGGCAGGGGCGCGATTCCATTGAGCAGGCGCGCAGGAAAAGAAAAACTTCCGTAATACCTTGACCTTCGTCATATCTTATCAAAAGCTCCTGTGGTCGGCGGGAAATGATCTCGGGTTTCCCCGGTGATAAGCCACGGTTGTAACTATTCCAACATCGAGGCAGACATAGCGGCCTCGATAGTGGAGTGGTTAGAACCGCAACCTAACTATCACCGGGGAAACCAAAGTTGAATTCCCGCTAACCACAGTAGCTTCCGAAAAAGTATGACGCGTACGGCGCAACCCTACAAACACTAAGGTCCTTTTAAGGACCAAAGAACACCTGACGGCGGCCCGAGAAGTAACTGGCCGAAACAACGTAAAACGAACATCTCAACTCAAGACGGGGGCGAAAGTCCGATATCTAATATCAGTGGCAATGATAGGAAATTGAAATACGTTTTGTTCTGGACGGACACCATTCTAAACACTTTTAAACACCTATATGACAATTCAATATGACACACTGACCTGACTAGGTAATAGGTATGACACTAGGTATGACCTGACTGTAATTTGTTACCCAGAGATCTCACAAAAATGTTGCACGCTATTTAGAAAGGATTTGAATTTGCTCGTCGACAATTCCGAAAATGTACATTCTGAAGACGACGCAAGTCGAAATATATCATAATATTGGACTTATTTTAATATCATTTCATTGTATCATGAGCATAAGGTCATTTTCTACCATCATGATATTCATAATTATGCTCAAACTAGCCATAGCTCACCTCCAACGGATGACACACTGAACTGGAAAATGGTATTCGTGATCCTTCTTTATATCTCTGAGGTCATCTCAGGTCGCAGTAGGGAGCCCAACAGTTTTTCGCTAATAACTTCTGGTAGGCGCATGCTAAAGCGATGATAACACCTCAGTTGTGCACAGGTCGACTGAACGGATCGATTTATATGCAACATGACCTTTTCATGTCAGGTCATGACCTTGACCTGAGGTCAAATTATAAGATACCTTTCAATGTCAAACAGTACATATGTACCTAGTGCATGCGACGCGTCTCGACGATAAGAACACGATGATTGACGAAATAAATGTGATAACTTTCTCGGGTGAAAAGTAATTGCAAAAAAACGTTTTTCATAAAACAGCTTTTTTTAGTTTTTGCCTCCGGACAGTGTGGTTGCCAAACCGTTGACTTGAGGTCAAATCTGAGGAGGCTTTGGCAAAAGAGCGTTGAAATAGCAATCAGATACGCTTTGCCGGGGCGCTGCAGCTCTATTAGTTCCCAAGTTATGCGCCAGGGTTTCGAAAATTGTTCAAAAGTCAAAATTTGATCTTTTATGACCTTTCGCGACCTGAGCTTTGACTTGACCCTATAAAGACCAAGTATTCCCTTCGTTTTTACGGTATTTCCATGCCGCTTACCGCATGTCGCTACGTGAGCCAGGAAGCGAAATATACGGGGTTGTTCATTGTTACACTCCCGGCCCGGCGCGGAAGGCGCCGAGCACCGGCTCAGCGCGGGTTAAGCTGCTCCATCTCCGCCTTTACTGGGTGGGCAAAAGCAGTAGCGGCGGAACACCTTCAATTAAGAGGGGGGGGGGGGGCACTGCCGACTTTTGGTCCCATTCTTTCCATGCAACGCCCATAGGGCTAATGTTAACCCTCGCCCTGGCAGGGGGGGGGGGGTCGATGCGACCCCCCCCTAAGGTTTTTCGAAGATAACGTAAAAACGGGCGGCGCTGCGGCCAAATTTGGCACAGCCTATGGGGCAACCTTTTTACATATGACCTGAAAAGTTCAGGTCCGGGTGACCTTAGGTCAGGTCACCAGGTCAGAAAAACCGGTACAAGGTCATGGTCAAATTTCAAATTTCTTTTTGCACCTGTCCAACTCACAGTTTTGCACTGATTTCCTTCAAACTTTCAGGATGTGCTAAGTTCACCGAGTTGTATAACATATAGTTCGGGTTTTTTTTTAGGTCACTGACCTGAGGTCAGTTAGAGGTCATTACGTCGTAATGTTAAGCCTATGGGAAAATACTAAATTCGGAAAATACTGGAGATATCCGCTCCGTTCTATCACTTTTGTGCTTTGAAACCACAGTACTCAACAGCAGGTCACTTGGTGCTTCTTTGTTTGGTGTACTTATCCATGGGTCAGGTCAAATGAGGTCAACTGAGGTCAAATGACGTTTTTGCCAATAACTTGGCACACAATGACGCTAGAGCTTAAAAAATGGTACCATTGTGTTCCTGGTGATCAGCCGAATCGAATGATATGCGATATGATGCAATTTGGTTAACTTTAACTTAATTTATTAATTTAAGTTTACTTAAAATTTAAGAAAAACTTTAAGTACACTTAAGCAAGCTAAAAAGTATACCATTCGACGCGCCTTGACGTGCTGAGTTCACTGGTGCTTTTCGTTTTGCTCTATCTTAATTTGATCAAAAGTTATAAGCGAAAAACTTTTGACCTGTTTTTAGCGAAATTTTTACATTTATACCCCCAAAACCCCCCTAAATATTGACCTAGAGCAACCAAATTTGCACAGGGGCGAGAACTCCAGGGGGCCCATCTACCTACCGAATTTGGTGTTTCTAGGTGCCATAGGTCGATGCGACCCCCCCCCCCCCTGCCAGGCCGTGTTATGAAAAATGCCCTGCCAGGGCGAGGGTTAAAATACCAAAATAATAGGGGGCACGGCGCCCCGGTACCCTCCCCGTTCCGCCGCCTATGGGCAAAAGCACTCCACAGTCCACTGGGTGGGCAAAAATGTCCATTGGATGGGCCGTAACATGTTATCCGAGGCCCTGACGTGTCCCCCCGTCCCCCCTGGTGGCGGAGCCCTTGCCCCCGTCCCCCTTCCGCTTTCGACGCCCATGGCAAAATGGACTTTAGCCAAACCAAATAGCTGCCTAGGCTAGGCTCAACAATGATTAGAAACCACACCATCTTGTCAAAAACCGCATGTATATCTAGGTACCTAGATTTTTTTCAATCAATCAATCCTTTGCCCCTAAAAACAGGTACACTAAAACAAGAAATAACAAAACCTAACCTAACCGTAACATCACCTTGCTTGAATCAATGGGTGGTTGGGTGTAACTTATAAATGTTTTGTGTAAGCATCAATAGCATTGACGTTTGATCTCACTTTTTAAGATTAGAAGGATGTGTCCTTTCCTTTCATGTTCTTATTTTGCCAATTTGTTCAGTTTTTAGAGCGTGCAAAAAGAAGAAAATACCCAGCCTGTCGAGCTTAGCATTAGCCAGTCAGCATGCGGTTGGTTTTTAACTAGGCAAATGACTAATCAGGTTGGTCACTGCATACCTAATAAGCTTCCACCGCAAACACCAAGCAAGCCTCTACCAAGGAGGGGTTATAGTGCTTACTGTATCAAATCAATAAAAAATTGTTTTTATAAATTTTGATTATTTTCTGACTATGCATAAAAAATGACAAAACTGTAGCAAAAAACTTGTATGAGGAAAGTGTTTATATGTACTTTAAGTGTCGCCTGAGGGAGTGTGCGGATGGGGGCGTGACTGGGTATGCTGTTGAAATACTTGTATGTATCTGTTTTTGTTATTTAACTTGCTTGCCTCTGTTTTCCAGCAACACAAAAATGCCAACATGGAGCCAGATACAGTCACAGCTGAAACACCCCAATAATCCAGTGGTGTTTTTTGATATCAAAGTTGGAAATTCTGTGAGTAAAATGGGGCTTGTGCCCATAGGGACCTTGCGTAGCATATACTAGGGTTACCCGCGTGCTCCGCAACGCGAAGAAGGGTTATTTGTGACCCGTGGGTATTGGGTTGGTCTGTGTCGATTTGGTTGGTATCCATTTCGTTCGATTGCTATTTGACGGCCAAACATTTTGTAATAAAACAAAAAAGATACATCGCATCGAGGTGCCTGTGTCGTATTATCATGTGTTCTACTTAAGAATGATTCGAAAACTGGCGTGAAGTCTTTTGAGGGCCATCGATGAATTTCGCTAAAAATGGCAATGTAATGGTTTGGAACATTTACATTTTTAAGAATACTGTTGCCCGTCATGCAAAAATGAAGAGTGAATATTGGACAGAATTGAATGCTCTTTCCAACGGTGCCATTTCTAATTGCCAGAGATATCAGATTATGGAGCCAAACCCGTGTGATTAACAGAGTGGCACAAAATTGACAAACACCATTTTCTCCCGTGATTTGTACCACCTTGATTTGGATCAATCAGCTTTTCACAATTTCTATATGAGAGGCGGTACATTTATCTTGCAAATAGGCGTTGTTTCAACTCTGAATTGTTTTGAGCACTGTTTTGAGAGACATAGACATACTTAAAAATATAATCAAAAAAAGTAACCGTACTCTCATAATTAAAATCAAAAATCTTAAAAAAGGCCAGATAATCTCGAGGAGCTTTCGGCTTACGCCTTCTTCAACTCGCTCTATTTTCTTTTTCTTTTTGGTGCAAACACTTTGAAATTCAAATCTATAGCAGCTGCAGTTAGGCACAGGCACTTCTACAAAGGGTTACAAAATATTTATAATGCGTAGGCCACAAAACACAAAGTCGTATTTAATACATTGATAATCAGAATTTTTGAGGCACACTTTGTGCTCTAAAGCCCTTGTTACACTGCCGAATTTTGGTACACGAATGTGCACGAATATGCAAGTCATCCTATGTCGCGGACCGATTCGGCATCTTTCTTCCACGGTCTTGGCATTTCGCAGACCAGTCCAAGGCCGTATATTAGGAGGTAAACTCGTCAGGCGGTTTGTTTACATTTGCTCAGCTGACGAAATGACGTCAAAGGTCGTCCACCCTCACGGATCAGGCAGCCGCATGTAGTACAATATGCGGACGTTTTTGGGAATTGAGACGACTTTAGCGATATTGAACGATTAAATTACGTTATACCAGCTTCTACAAACCTGCAAACCGGTTTATGCTAATGTGGTGCTACAAAAACCAGTGTGGAAGGAGTTGATATTGATGCATTATCGGCTGGAAAAACACCATAACTTCGACCGTAGCCGACTGAGCCAACATTGACCTATGCTTGGTTATGGGTCAGCATAGTTGCCAGAATGTCATAATTTACGCGGATTTGAACAACAACAATAGCATTAGACGTACGATTACGAGGTTTTGCTCACAACAGTTAGGTATACCGAGCAGAGCATATACCCGGCCGGGGCACCAGCGCCGAAACTGAAGCGTGAACGGTGGCTTGCGACAGGAACGCATATGGCTGCCAGTGATACGGTATGTGGTGGCGCATCGGATGCAGCCCTGCAACTTTCGGTCCAGAACTGGCTGCCATTCGTTGGTCCCAGTCCAGCTGCCTCAATCGGTCCCGGTTTAGACGCCTTTGCCGGCCCCGGTTCAGACGTCTCAGTCTTTCCCGGTCCGGAAGTCTCAACTCAAACTTTATTGAACAATCTTATCGGCATTATCTTGGTAGAAAACACAAAACAGTAAGACAGAACAAACGAGCAAACTCAAGCAGCACTTCAAAATGACGAACAAACATCAGCGTGTTTCAGCAGCATCCACGCGTCGCTCCGCGCTGTCTCACAGCGCTCCACGGGGTCAAACCACTACGTGGGTTCGTAACACGCTGGCCACAAAACATGGGTTACCAGCGACCAACACAAAACTCTGAGAGCAGGGGTCCATCCAACCTAATTTACAAACACAGCAGCCCCGTCAATGGCCATTAGCGCCAACCCCGCCGGCGGCAGCAGGAGCGACAAGCAGGGACAGCGCATGCAACTCGATCGCAAAACCATTCTTCTGGCATTGCTCTGCGTCTATAAAGGAGAATATCCCGCCCTCATCTACCCTTCAGGACCTGGCCGGGGACACTAACGAGACGCGGACATTACCCACTCAGCTGAGCAGTGAGCACCCTTTCGACCGGTCCGGGGCCCAGCTCTCGCCACATGACATGACCGAAGGCTACTGTTAGGGTGCTGTCCTGTCCTGCTGTTCTTTTGCTGTCCTCCATCAGTCGGCTCCGAACCACCAGCCTCGCTGCCGCGCCGGGGTCCGGAGAAGAAGCTGCGCTGAGACGATCTGGAACCATCAGCCGGGCTGTGAGTCCCCACCGCCATGCGGTTGCTGGGACCGGGGCGGTGCAACCACACTCGCGTCCTGACTGCGCTTATGTGCTTCTCTCCTCGGAGCAGAGTCCGGCAGCGCAACCTGACTGACCTGAGCACGCCCCGCGCGAGAAGGCGTCTGGCGTGGCGCGCCGGCCTCGACCATCTGTCACACCGCCTCGGGATTCATGATCCAGATCCGATCGAATCGTCAGATTAAAATGTCTCTTGTATGGTAAACACAGATAAAAATCCCTCCTTCTTGAGTCGCAGAAGGCCAGGGAGGCTTGACAGTCTACGGAGGTCGACGACTGAGAAACGCTCCAGCAGCCGCAGTTGGTCAGCTGCTCAGCAACACTCTCCGCCAGCGAGACTGAAAACAAAAACATTCCATGAAATGCAAATTAAGGATGGCTGAAGGATGCATAATACCCAGTAAAACGAATAACTATTCAGTAAACAAAAAATGTCACTTCCTTGCTTGGAAAATTGTATTTTAGTCACTAAATGCCATGGCAAAGGAGCTGCCTAATCGATGAATGTCAGCAACTCGCCAAACAACCTGTGTAAAACAGTTTGTTATTGTATGTGACTCGGTAGACACAACCTTTTGACCTTAGCCTGCACTAAATATGATAGCAAATTAGCCATGCTCCATTGTCATTTTCCCCTTTGAATTAGGTAATTGTTTTTGGGAGCTGCCACAACTGCACAGATAGGCACATTAACATTGCTCACACACACAGATTCACTTACTTGTGAGTTGCTGGGTGATGTGTAGTGCCTTGGTAACCAGTCACAGAATAACTGAAGCCTCCTGGAAAAGCGCTGTAGCTGTTGGCGACTGGCGTCACCACAGCTGGTCGGTGGGACACTGTAAACAAGTTGTGACTTTAAACGCTGCTCCAGGTACTTTGGTCATGATCTGTCATAACATAGTTAACCCTCGCACGACCAGGCCATTTCTCATAACACGAACGACCAGGGGGGGGGTTGTTACGACCCCCCCCTGGCGTTTCGAAACGGAAGGTCGTAGAGCTTAGCGGAAAAAACCAACGGATTGCTCTCAACGAGATCTCGCGATTGGTGGTATATTTTTTGGTCCTAGGTCAACATTTGACCTACTTATGACCGGTCAAAGGTCAAATTTTCCGAAAAAATCAAACTTTTTCAACTTTCCGCGGCGATTGCGGCAAAACGGTGGGAGATATCGACTTGAAACCTTCACTATCGTGTTCCTTGATCAATTCTCTATCGTTTGGTATGTATTTCGTTTCCCTAGCTCTAAAAATGGCGCGTTGGGAGCGCCGGAAGTCGGCAAGGTCACAGTCGGCGGCAGAAATTCGAAAAATCAAAATTTAAATTTTTGAAATCTGATTGTATTTTTGGATTTGGGAGGTCCATTTGCTCCCTATAGAAGCTAATATTGCTGCATATTCCCATTGAGGTGACAAGAATTAGCAAAATAGTGGTTCGGGCGCTTTTCAAAAATAGTACCGGACGCTGTTCCTCTTGTGACGTCATAGCTCCGTGACCTGACCTGACCCGGTCAATTTTCTTGCACCACACGATAGCCAATGCTTGCCCCAACATGCATGGGAACTTTCATCATGATCCATCAAACAATGTGGGTATCACCGGCAGAAAACCTAGGGATTCGGCGCACACGTTTGGTAACTGGGGCATTCCACGTCAAATCGAACAAAAATCGTCTGTTTTGCACCTTACCATCAGCGATTTTATTATAAATTTGTGAGCGAGTTCCTGTGTGGCCCCGGACATTACATTGATGTTTTTTGCACATTCTGACCACAGGTCTTCTAAAGATAGGGCATCAAATTTTTACAAAATGTTGCATCTTTATATTTTTGAACGATCATAACTTTGGTTGTACTTGTTTGATTTGAATGAAATAAACCTTACTGTTTAGGTAATTTCTTAAGCATTTGTTTAGAATTGCACCTACTTAAATATATGACCTTGAAAGTTGCTTAACTCTGTTCTTAAGCACGAATATTGAAATAGCAAAAAACACGTCACCTTCGATTTGGCTCATTTTCATATATTTTATTGCCTACCATATTCTTAACAACCTGTGAAAAAAATTAGAGTGGGCCATTCATAAGTTTTGAAAAAAATTGCACATATGCAAACGTATGTTAGCATGCGCAGTGGAGGGGGAAGAGCGAATTTCGCCCACCCCTCCTGTTTTTTCGCCAATATCTCATAAGATGAATGCGAAATTAATTATGGCTACCTGTCAAGAATTGAATTGGACATCTCATCGTGCAAGCAATAAGAAAATCGGTTCACAACTGCTCTAGTAATAGCGTTGTAAAGTGAACATACTGTCGCCGCAGCGACGCGGCGACTCGGCAGCCGGCGCCGACCGCTACGCGCCGCCTGAATTGTAGACTGTGCCGGGACGGAACGGAACGGTTCCGTCTTTACATCGCGCTCCCTACCGCTGATTACGTTCGATTCGCGTCAAATTTTGTGAGAAGACTAAGAAATGTACAGGCAATCTTATGGTGAAAGAATTTTGAAAATCGGTTGGTAAACAATTGAAATATGAACGTGTAAACACAAAATTGTGATTGCTGCCAATGCTGCGTTTCCCGCATCGGCCGAGCCCGCCTCAGCCGGCGACATGTTACTCTTAGCTGAGGCCTCTAACTGCCATATTTATTATTGGATTAACTAGAAATTCCCATACATACTAAAAAATGTATGTTCTTTCGTATAGTGAAGATCAAAAGACGTGAAGATATCGTTGCGTGATAATGTTTTCGTTGAATTTACTTCATGATGCATTTCCACACGGCTCAAAATTCACCGCAAAATACCGTTTGCCTGAGACACTTTTACTATGGAACGTGAATGCTTGACTACGATGACTATGCATTTCCATTCTCGCAGAGTTTGGGATATCACTAATCAGCAATCATTCATTTCAGAAAGTGTACACAAGCAAGCATGTCTTGACTCTGCCTTTCAAGGTCACGCGCGGTTGCGTGATGTTGATGCATGAAAACGGCGTTTGCCGCGAAAGTTATGAATGGCCCACTCCATTTTTTTCACAGATGGTTAGGAACATTGTGACGGACATAATATGTAAAAATTACCCAAATCGAAGGTGACGTGTTTTTTGCTATTTAAATTTTTCTGTTTTAATTAAAGGTCAAATGCATTTCAAGGTCACTTCAATTTAATTTTATAATTAAAAATCAAAGCCTTATCAATGGCCTATAAGACCCTGTTAATATCATTTTGATACCAGAAAAGGAACCAGAGTTATAGCCATTTAAAAAATTGATGCGTGGCATTTTTCTCTATATTTGATGACCTATATCTCAGCGATACGTTATCAAATTTCGAAAATATTATACGCAACTCAGTTTTGAACCATGCCCAGTCTACCTACAAATTTTCAGAAAAATCGAAGGGAATGACGGATTTCGGTGTTTGATTTGACGTGGAATACCCCAACTGTCGGCCGGAGGCTGTACCTCTTATGACGTCATAACTCCGTGACCTGACATGACCCGATCAATTTTTTTTTCGGCAAAAGATGCGCAAAGGTTGCCCCAGAGGGTATCAAAATTTCAGCCCGCTACGACAAGCCGTTTAGCGTGCACTTCGAAAAAACCTCAGGGGGGGGGGGGTTGATACAACCCCCCCCCCTAGGCGTTCTAGGGTTAACATTTCTTCTAATCAAACTAGGGCCTATGGGAGTTGGAGTGATACTCCTCCATCATACCAATGCGCTAACAAGGATTGAAGAAAACACATGGGCCCTAAAACCAATAAAAAACGAACACAAAACATACCTACTCATTCATAATTATTATTTTTTAATTTGAAAGGAATCCTGTTCACCTAAAAATAGTCAGCAAACCACTCACCAATTGCCTGACACCATAGTGCACAAAGAAGTTTAGGCCTGTGTAGGCTGTGCAATATTATATGTGTAGATCAAGATGAAGTAGGACACACATCTACAGACCTACAGTGAGACGTGAGTCAGTAGGTTTTAAGTTGTAGGTTGGTAGATTGTAGGCTTTAAATTGTAGGTTTTCGGTTAGTAGGTTGTAAGTTTGTAGATTGTAGGTTGGCAGGTTGAAAGTTTTTGGTTAGTAGGTAAGGTTAGGACAGGTTATATTTTTTATCTTCACTGTACTTCATCTTCACATTTACCGGCTGTGCGGACTGCAGGCCTGTTGGACCGGATCTTTGTAATGCAAAGCACTCGCTCATTCTAAAAGTACTGGTTGTCAAAGACAGAAGAGAAGCGGATGGCTCCCCCGTGGATGTCCAGATACTTATCAATTATGGCAGCTTACATGAGTTACAGAAGCAATTGCAGCTTCCTTTGTCCGTCTAGGCTTTAGACAATTGACCACACTTAAAAACAGACAAACATGCAATTTTGTTTGGTATTGGAATATATACCAATATTTCTACATTTACAAAAGTATATGATAATTCTTATTAACTACTTGCTGGTAATAATCAGAAAAAAACTCAGAAATGCCAGACAGAAAAGTATCAAATAACAACTAACAATTGATATCAATTGAAATACACAAATTTGCCAGCAGAAGATTGTAACACGCGCGCAATAAATGTAAAAAATAGCTTAACCCGCGCGGGGCTGGGGGGGGTAAATTTTACCCCCCCTCGCGAATTTTTGCGATATCTCAAAAACGGCGGCGCGCAGCGCCGCCAAACTTTCAGTACCTTTTCTTACATCAATTTGACACGTTCCCTGAAAATTTGAGCGAAATCCGTCGGAAAATTTTTGAGAAATTGACGTTTTAGTGACGTCATGTTCGCCATTTTCGCCTCAAAAACGGCAAAAGTTCAAACGCCGCTAACATCTTCATTTTTAAAGGAATCAAGACGTAACAAAAAGGTTATGCGTAATTTTACTTTGTCTATCAAATGGCTATCTCGTTTTTTTGAAAATTTGGGATTTTGGCCTAAATTTAAAAAAAAAACTGACTTTTTTGGGAAAATCATTATAAAATTCAAAATTTTGAGTCTATCGAAAAAACCGGAATATATGTCAGAGAAGTGGTCTATGTTCACCTACATACCAAATTTTAGAAGAATCGGTTCAAAAATGTGGGAGTTATTCAAAATTTTATGACGTCACGACACACAAATTTTTGAAAAATGACTTTTTTGGAAGTTCTAGACCTCGTACGGAAACAAAAATAGCACCATTCGATTCGCCGTGAAAAACTGCATCAGATAGACACCTTTTTAGGCCTTAACAACCAACTTCAAAATTTGACCTCACTTGACCTGACCTTGACCTGACCTCGACCTGAAATTCATCCAGAGGTGGTCCATATCACTTATTGAGTGTGCCTATTGAATTCTATGAGTAAAATGACCCATAAAACATGTGTCGCACATGCCTTTTTCTATATTTTGTTTTTTGGTGACCTGACCTGACCTGACCTTGACCTTGACCTCTGAATGATATTGTATGCAACGAATATTGTCTTGGTAGCCTAAGAACACGTTTTGGGCGATCAGTCTCAGTCCATGACTCCATTCTTCGGCAACTACGGTGCAAGGCCGATACTGTAGAAACTTGCAATTTGTACCCTTGACCTGACCTTGACCTTGACCTCAAACTTTAAATTAAGTACATGTTTTTAGTAGTTCGTGATAAGAGCTTTCGATTGGCGTTTGAATTTTCCAAATCGGACCATTAGTTCGGGAGATAACAGGGGGGGGGGTAAAATTTACCCCCCCCCCCCAGCCCCGCGCGTTCGGCTGGAGACCCCAGCCCCGCGCGGGTTAACTTCTGCTTCAATTCCTTAAACCACTGTCATAAATCGTAATTCCCAACTAATTCACTGCTACGCTAGAACTCAAAGACTACAAGTTTTTAAGTATTGTAACCTTTACAACATGTAGAAAATGTCTTATTAAACCATTTGAGACCAAAAACGTTCCACTTCATCCCGTTTTAGTTGAGAAAACAGCAAAGAAAGTGGACGACCTTTGACGTCATTTACCTTCTGATTGGCCCAAAAAGCCTTCCCTATGGCGCAACATAGAAACGATGACCCCCTGGACCAGTCGTTGTCCACCGCGGACTTTTAAGGCCGTGTTACACTGCCGAATTTTGGCCACGACCCTGTCGCCGAATCACGTCGTGTAGGAAATAGGCGAACAGTTCGCCGACAGAGCCCGATTTGCAGAAAACGGGTGGGGGGCCCCCCTTATCGTGCGCGGGTCGAAGCTGATCCATGATTCGGCGAACATCGCGAATGAATGGCGAATCTGTTGCGAATAGTCGGCGATACCTTGGCAACAAGTCGGCGCACGCAGCGACATGTCGGCGGCGACTCGGCGACTGTTTGGCGATCATGTTCGTTTATTTTAAGTTCGGCGAAACGGCCACGAAATTTTCATTTTTCATGAAATATTCGTGGCGGTCGTGACGAACCGTAAAAGTCGCGCAGTGGACACCGACTGGTCTGCGAAATGACAAGACCGTGGAAGAAAGATCCCGAATCGGTCCGCGACATAGGATGACTTGCATATTCGTGCACATTCGTGTACCAAAATTCGGCAGTGTAACAAGGGCCAACGAAGGTATTATGTCATTTGAACCGCCCGAAAAAGGCTTGTGTGAACGTCAGATGGCTACAACGCCCCAACAGCAGAGACGGCCAAGCACCCGTCCAAAATCAAATTGTGAGACATTTTGAGCCACCGTGCACTCATTGGGCTTGATATGATGGCCCAAAGACAACCGTTAGCACTGGGTAATACTGCTTTAATATTCTACCAGTGCGAAAACTGGATGCCTTGAACCAAATGGTCATGAACGGGTTTGTTTTGGAAACCAAATCTGTTGGAAGCCAAAGGTTGCGCAATGTTCAGACATGGAGCTTCTCCACTCCAGATGTAAAAAACGCAGCAAAAGTGGCGTAGGCAGAAATTTTTGTTTTGAGGAATAATACCTTATGGCCTGGGAACACTTTGATGTCAAGTTTATCTTATATGATCGTATTATCCTCCGGCAAGAGGTCAAAGAAAACAGGCCTACGACCAGTTTCGGGAGACCCGTAAAACAACTGAGACCAGCAATGGCTGGCATTTTCCATCATTGTCGGCTGATCTGGTAACAAGCGTATCTATTGCATGTGCTATTTCACAGCCACCCTAGTTGACTATATAGGACGGTAAAAAGAAAAAAAGCGCAATCATGTTTGCCTTACTTTATACGCTAATTAACAATGTCCGGGTAATTATGGGACACCCTGTAGACATAGCCACCGCTAAGCGAAGCTTGTTGCGATGACCCTGCCCTCTACCCTCCGATCGTGCAATTCCGATTCTATGGCAGAATTTAGAGTCCAAAGTTTAACGTGCGCACAAAGCCGCGCACGGCCGGTCTCCTCGCTGACTTCGCCTGGCTACGGCCTGCCACTAACCGCAACATTACCTGTCAGGAGGCCCATAAATGTCGAGCGCCCGTCGCGCTTCGAACCCGGACTGTTGTAACCGGGAACGCGTGCTCTCGCCACGCGGAGTCCAACGCTCTAACCAACTGAGCTACGGGACCGGCTTTCACACACGTTGTTACGTATCTGCGTCACTAACTTTTGTTTTCGCCGATACAGACTATGAGGCACACTAGCTTCCATCATTGATTCCTCAGGATTTACAGAAGTATTGCTGGTATTGTTCATTTCTTCACCTCCGGTCTTCTTACTTCTCTGTCTTTTTCCCGGCATTGCTTCATCCCGCCGTGTTCACTGGCACCAAATGTTCGGATAGTCTTAACCCGCGCCGGGCCGGGGGGGGGGGGGTGTTTGAACACCCCCCTGCGGTTTTTCGCAGATATCTCAAAAACGGCGTCGCGGAGCGCCGCTGTTTTTGGCACACCTGTTCGTACATCTGTTCCGCACATGTTGTGAAAATTTCAGACCCAGGTCGCCTTAGGTCAGGTCACCAGGTCACGCCAGGTGACCTCACCTAAAAAAAAAATAAGAATGCTTGTCATAGCTACACCGATTGATCGATTGCCTTGAAACTTTCAGCGATTGATAAGAGCAACAGTATCTAAAAAATGTATATCTCGGAATTTTGATATCGGTGGCCTAAGGTCAGGTCAATTTTGCGGCCTCTCCATTATAAGTCAATGGGAGAAAATTGAAAAGCGTCTGTTTTGCACGAACGCCATTCTAGACACTCTCAAACATCGAGATGTAGGTGAAATTGACACACTGAACCAGAAAATGGCAACTGTGACCCCTCGTTATGTCCCCGAGGTCATCTCAGGTCACGAACAGAATCTAACAGTTTTTCGCTAATAACTTCTGATAGAGGCGTCCTAGAGCGCTGAAAACGCCTTAGATGTGTTCGGCTCGACGTTGCGGATCGACTGATATGCAACATGACCTTTTCCGGTCAGGTCATGACCTTGACCTGAGGTCAAATTTTTTAGTTGACCTTTCAAGGTCAACTTATAGTTCATTCGACGCGTCTCGACGAGAGGAACACTATGCTGGCAAAAGTAATGTCATGGCTCTTTTGAGTCAAAAGTTATCGCCGAAAAACCGATTTTCGTAAAAACGGCTATTTTTGGAGTTTTTGCCCTCTGGAGGCTAAACCGTTGACCTGAGGTCAAATCTGAGGACATTGCTCAGAAAGGTCTGTAAAAGGGCTATCGAATGCGCTTTTCCGCGGCGCTGTAGCTCTATTGGTTCCCGAGATAGCCGTTGGCAGTTTCCAAAATGTTGAAATAGTCAACATTTTACTTTTGGTGACCTTTGGTGACCTGACCTTTGACCTGACCCAAAAAAATGACCGAAGTGTTTTCGTCCTTATTTTGGACGTTCTTTCGATTGCCGCTTACCGCGTGTCGCTACGTGGCCCAGGAGCCGAGTCAGAAGGGGGGGGGGGTGTTCAGACACCCCCCCCCCGGCCCGGCGCGGAATCTCAGAGCACCGGCCCGGCGCGGGTAAATGGTAATTTCCTCGCTTCGATGAAATTAATGGTGTGAAGTGCTTGAGCGAGGAACATAGCGAGAATAGTTACGTGAAGAATCATTGACCTTTTCCTCGAAAATGTAAAAAAACAATGCCAAAAGTTATATTGAATGCGGTGAGCTTTCGGCTACAAGCCTTCGTCAAACCAACAAAATGACACAATACAAAATTCAAAATTCATGTCCACATGCAACACTCTAGAACTGAATTTTTAAACTGCCATTGTCGATACTCGTGCCTGTTTATGGAACAAACCTATCACTCCGCTAAAATCCAAGTAGACATAATGGCTCTGCTTTACAGGGTGGGGCAGAAAGATTTACCTCTTGATTTTCTTAAATATTTCGGCCCCGAACAAAGATATCAAATTGATTTCTAGCACATATATGCAGTAACATGTACACA